CAAGGGAAACATTGAGCGCAGAGGGATCTTTTGTTCAACCATCGACCATCTCGGTCGAGCGCATAAAGCGAAATGATTGTGCTCTCGCATATTTTTGTAGTCCGACCCCTAAAAGTGATGAGCCGAGCAAATACGAAGTTGACTGGGAGATTACCCTCGAAAATAAGTGTGCAAAACACTTTACACTACGTGTCCGGTCTATGTGCTCTCTGGTTAGTGGCATAACGTAATTCTCCCACAGAATTTAACAGACTGAAAATTTAAATTGAACCGTTCTTGTTCTCTATGTTAATCAACAGTCAATACTTTTAACGGAATTTTATATTGCACTTTTGCATCCACTTAATTTTAAAAAATCTATTTAAAATAAACAGTTCAAGACATACTTGTATTTTGTGCTCATTCTTAGGTTCAAGTTTATTTACTTCATATTAATTTGCCTTATTTAAGTATACTAGGAAAAATTTGTTTTCTATTGTAGTAACTAGTGTGATATATGTATATTTAACATTTAAATGGTATTCATATTATTTATATACCTACAATTAAAACATATTTTGCTCGGCAAGTGTCAGGTGTGAGCTCAACGTATAGAAATTGAATAATTCTAAAAGCTTTTCGTTGAACATGCTGTAGACTTTTAAATTGAAAGCTGTTTAATGACCAGAGAAGACTATTAACTGTTTATCTCTTATGCATATATATGTGTATGTACCTATGTTTGTTGTATAACAAAAACTTAAAAAATCAATCTTAGTTTATATATGAAAGAATCATACAATGACTTTTGTATCGCATTATTTACACGGCCAACGACTGATACGATTTTTAAATTTATAATTATATACTTAAGGGGAAAAACAAAAACTGCGGCACTCATCGAATTACCGTTTCAAACGGTTAATCTAGAATTGCAAAAATTACCACTTATTTGCTATTTAAATCTAATATGAATTTGATTTGCAGTCGAAATTAGATGTAAAAATAATAGAAACGGAAGCACCGACTACTAAATTAACGTAACTCAGCGGCCAATCGTCAGTCTATAGGCTTTTGGTAATATTTTGGAACAAGCGACGTCCCCACCAAGACTCCAAATCGAATGGCTTGAAATCGTTTAGGGCTGGGCTTGGCGGCTCTACCCAAACGGCCGGCGCTGTCGATGCCGACACAGGTGTATTTGCTATAATGCTATCCACTGGACTAGGTGTGGCCAAAGTAGAAGCAGTATTATTGTTAGCATCGGCCTTACCATCGTGCTTCACTGTGCTGGAATCATACGGGTTTTGTGCGACCAGAATGTTCCACGCTGCAATAGCAGAAGAGACATTGAAATTGACGAATAATAAAATAGAAAATTAAATTATGTTGCTTACAATCATTTATGTAGCGTATTATCTCCTCGTGTTGCGGTGTTATCACTTCATCCTCAATAAGCTTTGTGGGCGCAATGCGCTTCGAAGCGAAGCTTTGTTGAAATACCGGACGCGGTATGCTAATAAATTCAAATAGAGATACGTTACTTTAACATAAGAATAAGAAGATGCACCAACACGTGCTTGTGGACAAATTCAAATAAGAATAAGCAACAGCACACACATACATACTTGAGTACTTATGCAAACATACGTCACGCACATGGTGACTACGAAAATAAATCTCGTAATGGAAAATCTTTCAGCGACGTGACGTAACGGGCAGAAAATGTCGGACAAAAGTCAACGTATTTCTGCTGACAATAACCGAAACTGGCCCACGTGTTGTCGGTTAGCCGGTTACTCTGGTTACTCAATTAACATGCTTCTGTTATATACAAAGGTCAACCTATTCAACTTATTTTGTGATAAAACGAATGATTTGAGATAAGCCACAGTGCAGCCCACATCGTTTGCATAAGCCACACATACACAGTCACTCACAAAAACACACAAGCATCGCTCACTTACTTCTTGTTCTTCTCGGGACTGTTGAGATCAAAGTTGTTGCTGATGCTGCCATGTTTCTTGCCGCTCTCCTTAATGCTCTCGAACTTTTCAAAGTTTTGCGGCAGACCTGTGGGCGGTTCGTTTTGTTTGTTATTGTTTGAATGTAAATTTGGTTTACCGGCAAAAAGTACAAAACAAAAGGCAAAGAACGAGAGCGAGCGCCTGCAAGAGCACGCTGCGGGAGAGTTTAGCAGCGCTGCCTCTGTCGGCAGCGGCGGCACGTTGTGACATAACAGCAACACTTTTTGCAGGCGGTCGCCTTTCCCGTAGGGTTTATTGTACTTTTTACAACATTTACATATATTACTTGTAAATATTACTTACCGCGTCGCGTTTTAGCAACAATTTTGCTAGGTCCCTTGTTTACTGTGTACATGTCAATTTTATTAAACTAATTTTTAAATATTGTTATTTTCTATTGGCCAACGATTATTCTCTGCTTCTGTTTTCTGTTTTTGTTTATTTATTCGAGTACGTTCCTTTCTTTCTAGAAAATCATATGATTTCTAAATTTATTTTTTTTAACCCAACTGTTGACAAGTTGCTCTCTCCTCAGTTGTTTTTGTTTTTCTACGTTCTGCTGTCTTATTTCAAATTCATCTTCTAGTTGGAGCAATTACACAATATTCACAGTTAGCTTTGACTTTTATATCAATCGATGTATTTGTCTATTTGTTGCTGTTTTTGTTATCGCTATTATTATTGCTATTGATATACTATTGTCCAAATCAATTGTTTGCATTAATTGCCAATGCTGAATTATTACTATTGCCAATTGAATGCTGAAGGGTTACCGACTGTCTTCACCGTTCGCGTAACAGAATTCTAATAAATCCCCTCACACTGCAATGACAATTCACAGTGTGCTCTGACACACAAACACAGAGGCGCGCACACTCACTCACACACACACACGTGCACTTGAATTTCGAAAACATATGGTGCGCCGCCGAGCCAGTGTGTACACGCCAGATGGTGAATTGTAAATTATTACCTGCTTCATTTTAAACTCATCAAGCGGAGATTAGGCGCCTTTCAGTGGAAATCATAAAATAATACTCTGTGTCCATTACTGTTACCTGTTGCACTAATCGCAGACAGCTGCATTGATAGTTCTCTGAAAATTTGCATAACTTTATGACAGTCTATGTCAAATTTGCGTGGACGTCCATCGTGTATAAAAGTCGGGATAAAATATTTGGAAACCTAGTTGCAAGACAGCATCCGTCAACAGCTCTTAGACAGAGTCAGCAAATAAACGCAGACCAAACTAACATTCAAACATGGCAAACATTGAGACAAATCTAATTCTACAGCGTCTAAGCAGCCTGAAAATTGTTGAAACGCCAAAGCAGACGCAGCGTGGTGATAACGGAAAACGCGAATGTTACTCGGAGGACTTTAAAAAGTCACATGTACCAGCTACTCCCTGTTCTGGCGCTGTTGGATTTTTAACGGAGCTGAAGAAGCGACGAAAAGTTAAACTGAATCGTGTCTACAGCTATGAAACCGACAAACATTTTGTAAAAGCACGCAAATCGCTTAATTTTTAACACGTGAAATCGTATTGATGTAATCTTTAGAATTAAGCATAATTGATTATAAATCAATATTTTATTAAATCAAAAGAAACATATTCCTTATTTTTAATTGCTTGAGATTTATTTCAATATGAACTATATTTTGTCCAGCATTAAGTCTCCCAATTTTCTAGCTAACTCCAATAAAATCGCATTTAGATAATTTAAATTCAAATTTGTTTAACCTTTTCGATAAACATGGAGTCGATAAACAGCTGTGGTTACACTGTCGCTGATGCAGCCCTGGAAAACAGCTGGTTGGCTGTAATAATTGAATTGCTATTGCAGCTAGCTGACTAAGTGAAATTTAGACTAGATTTATAATAATTAGAATTACCTAAAATAATTATGGATGACGTTCCAATGGAAAATGAAGCGAACTCAAACAGCAGCGAATCGTCTAATGCGACAGCAAATCAGCAGCAACATCCTACGCCAGAATTCTTGCAACGCAAAATCTATTTTCTAAGTATGTTTATTTGTGTTTCACAAATTAACAAATGTTTTAACTCATTGAATTTTCTTAGTGGATCAGCTAAAAGAAATGCATTCCGAACTGCCAGAGTGAGTAAATGCAATTTTCAACTGTTGAAAACTTTGAAGAGATTAAGATTTTAAATCAGGACCTTGCAGACACGAATATCCTACGACCTGCTCACAGAACTGGCGAATTGTGTTTTGAATGAAAGTATTTTCGATATAGTTAAAGCGTTAATGGAATTGCAACATGTAACGGAGAAGCACTTGATACAGATGCGTGCACAAGTGGAGAATGAATACGAAATAGAGGTGGCTGATTGGCGTGGCAAAATCAAAGATCCAGAGGAGTTGCAACACATACTGGGACTTTTGAAAATTAAGCACACGAAAAAATTATTGGAAACAGACAAGAAAATAATCGAAGTGCTAGATCAGAAGGTTAGTTGAAATAATACTTTACTGCTTTAATAATCGTAAGCACTGTTTTTTTAATTATTTAGGTTTTCGACCAGCAATCTATGCTGCAAAAAGCGGGTGTGCCTGGTTTTTACAACACACAGAATCCCAAGGAAATCAAAATTCAAATGTTTCTACTAGACTTCATTTTACGCCTAAGTCTGCTCAAATTCGAGCCGAACAAATAACAAATAGCCCAAACCTGATTAAATACAAGACTGTCTCAATGTCGTTAATTGGCTTTATACCAATGATGATATTATTTTTATATATGAATAAAATTGCGCGTAGCTAAATACTTATAAATCACTGTAAAAGTTTACTTTATTGCAAGCTTACGCTATTTGAGCTTTACAACAAGTATGTGAAAGCTTTGCTATTGAGCGCACGCTCGTCTAGCTTATCCGCGTGCTCGAATGTTGCCAGCAACACTTTTACCAGCTCTCCCGCTCTCACTCACACTCACTCCCCTTTTCGGTTGGACATGTGTGTGGCAGGCATGTTATCAAGATAGTATTAAATGCGCTCATCGCCTGCGTATAAATTGAGTAGCGTCTTACTGAAAGTCAACAGTTGCTCGCATTTCTTTAAGCAAAGCACTACAAATTTTCTTAATAAAAAAGAAACATGTCGCTGACCATCACCAAAGATGTTTCCATTCCTGAACTCAAGGATTTGGTAAGCAAACGGGATGAAAAAAGTGCTATTCCAAGTGTCACAAGTCCAAGTATCATGTTAGGGCGCGCAAAAATTTAATTTGAAATACAATTTAATTTCCGAGTGCTTTGAACTTTTGCCAAGGCCAATACAGCAATTTTTCGAGCTTCGACTGTCGCATTGTTATGGCCAGCTTTAGTAGCCGCACAACCAGCGGAGAATTAGCAACAGCCGAAAAATGTTTGCTCGCCTCTTTCGTAATTTCAAAGCAAGTATAGTATAAAGTGACTCAAAGCAATAATTAATTAGTATTCAAAGTGAATGCCTTGCTGTGAAAAAAGAATATTAATTCTATGAGTTCTACTACTACAAATTGCTGCGCGTAACTTTCGATTTTATTCGCTTTACTATTTTCACTGCCTACATTGGCATTGACCTTGAGTCGTCGCTGCAGCGACGCATCTGTGACGTCACAGCTGCAGCCAGCACACAGCTGGCAGTTGCTCTCTTGTCCGTCACTGCCGCCCTCTCTCTAACAGCTGAGCGGCGTGCGACTGAGAGAGACGCTAATACATATCAAAAAGCAGTAAAAATGTAAAGAGCGTGAGCACAGTTATTTTAGCTGTCGGCAGAGCGCAGTTTGTGCTAAAGAACTTCAAAAAGCGATGTGCTGAAAGTTTTTTCAGCAAAATCTCAACTTTCGTGCACGATGCGCTGTGTGACTGGCTTGGGCTACGGCCTCACCTTCCTGTTTCTGGTGCGCTGGCGGCTGTTCGCAGTGCAATGAACTCTTGAGGCTTTAAATCATCAACTAAATATCTTTCTTTGTTTCTGTTTCATTCCAACAGAGCACTGTGCGCAATGAGCAGAAGGAGCTGAATCTTTCGCCCGTCCATCGTGTGAATGTGAGCTATGCCACGGCGACATTTGGCATGGGCTGCTTCTGGGGCGCCGAGTCATTGTATGGAGCCACGCGTGGAGTGCTGCGCACCACTGTCGGCTATGCCGGCGGCAGCTCCGACTTGCCAACGTACCGTAAAATGTAAGCACTGAGAAATAGGACATAAATTTGGCTAACAAATATCTATCGTTCTCTCCCTCTCTCTCTCCCTTGCTATCTGTGCCTTGCCTCTTCTTGATAACACTTATCGCTTACTAACCGCTAAACTTTATGCAGGGGCGATCACACGGAGGTGCTGGAAATTGACTATGATCCATCGGTGATTAGCTTCAAAGAGCTGCTGCATCTGTTCTGGAACAACCATGAGTACGGCCTAACCAAGCCCATGAAGCGGCAGTATGCCTCGCTCATACTCTACCACGATGATGAGCAGAAGGAGATAGCTGAAGCCTCCAAGCTGGAGGAGCAGGAGCGTCGCCTGCCTGAGATCATCACCACGGACATTGCGCCCAAGCTAAACTTTTTCCCAGCTGAGGCGTAAGTTTACTTAACTATATATTATATATATATAAAATTATATATATTTGTTCGTGCATATAGATACCATCAGAAATATAGACTGCAGGGACACAAGGATCTGGCTGCATCGCTCAATCTTAATCCAGAACTGCTGCAGACCAGCTACGTGGCCACCAAGCTGAACGGTTATCTGGCCGGCGTGGGCGGCATCGAGCAGTTCAAATCGGAGGTCGATACCTTGGGATTGACGCCCACTCAGCGACAGTACTGCAACTACCATATTGAGCAGAACGAAGGCCAGGGCCTGTACTGCTGACCGGGGTACATAGATGTTAAGCGTAAATCTTATACTTAAGGGGGTTCATATGCTAATAGTTTTGAATAATGTCCTTGAATATCCTGTTTCCCAGTTTTGTGTAGTGCAAAACATGTATTACTTAGTGCCTAGAAAAACTTATTGATAATGATAATAAATATATATATAAATGATTTTATACGCATTCTTTCATTACTCAATGTGGAGCGAAGATCTGGTATTACAGTTGAAATTCAATATATGTATATGTGTGGAGGTTTTTTTTCGGTGAATTCGGGGTGGGCTAATTAAATGAGTGCAATTTGATAGAAATAGTGGACTGTATCAATAGCCTAGATCTTGCGAAAATGCTTATTCATCGATTTGTAGTAAACATTCCACTTACAAATCTGCTATTCACGTTCATAAATGTGAATCAAATGACTAGCGTTTTATGATATATAATATATATCAAAATGCTATAAAATCTGAATAGTCATCGGAAATTAGATTAGTAAACTATTATGGGCACCGTTTATGGGCTTGATGCATGCAACTTTTAGGGCACTTTTGGCTTGTGCTAAATGTAAAGATTGTTGGCTCATATAATGCCAGACCACTGCTGTAAATTTACCATATCCATAAAGTTCGTAAACGATTTTATAATAGCTTTACATGTATAGCAAGTGATGTACCATTAACAAATTTACCAGTACACATGCATTTTATATACTATATATTAGCCGTGATTGACGTCTATATCCATAATCTGATATACTAAATCCATAAAGAAGAGTTGGGTTCATATAGAGATATATATATATATATGTATGTACTTTATTGTCACTTTTCTCTTTAAAGTCATATACCAATCAGTTATCTTAGTTAGAGGTTTAATATACTCCTAAGATATCTTAGTACAGTTCAGTAAAGATAAGACATAACCTATTTCAAAAGTTCGTCATTGGCAAATAACCTTATTTAAGGAGTACACGGCTTTTAATGAAGGGTTGTATATGTAACTTAAAACAATAATTTACATATACACAAATATAGGATATATAAATCTTCCAAATGCATACAATCATAAACGATACAAAGTATTACTATTTAAAATACATTGCGATGTTGTAAAGACTGGAATAAATAATAAAATTATAATCCTATGTTTCGATTCTGTCCATGCCCGATAGTTCCTTAGGCAGTATAGTACTAGATATGAGCCATATACAAGTGTAGACCGATTACCCATTGATCAAGTTCATCAATGCGCGCCCCACAGACACACGAACCCACACAGAGAGAGGCAGAGCTTCCACACATGTAACATACACACACACAAGAGTGGGTCTAGTCGACGCTCTCAGCACACACGCACACACACACAGCCATAGTACATTCACTGACCCTCCCCCCCTAGATGGCGCTCTCCTCTTTCCTATACATGGCTCTGTCTAGCGCGTCAACCGGCCGCGTGTCTCATTGATGATAAAGTCAAAAGCGAATTCCCAGCGAACCTCTGAAATGTTTTTTGTTTACAGCGAATGGCACGATTTAAAATGAACTTCGTTAAATGATTTCTGCATGTTCTTGCACATAGATTTAGCCAAAATTTGGCACAATCGTAGAGTTGACTGCAAAGTATCTGATTTTTTAAGAATCAACAAAATCGGAGCAGGCAGTGGGGAGCTATAAACTTTTGCGATTTCAGGCAATTGTAATAGAGTAAGATGTACAAATTTTGGATATATGATAGATGAAGATCTATAGTATCTATAGCCCAAATTTCAGGTAAATCGAAGCACTGGTTCGACCTCAGGGATTTTTACAAAAATTTGTGTTATGAGCTTTTCTACTGAGTTCCGTCTCGTACCGAGATGCGCGGTAAGACATTATGCTTGAATATATGTATGTACATATGTACATATACTATATACGCCGTAGTTTTTGTCTATTGTAGATTGCTATATGGTCGGGAATCTGCAGAGTGCACAGCAGAGCCCTGTAGACTTGACGAATCATGTCGCTGCTAGGGGTCAAGCGGGGCTTCCGTCTTGGCTGCAATCAAAATGATTTGCATAAAGTTTCTTTAAATGCGTGATATGGTTCTTATATAAGTTTTATTTGTGTTCATAAACAAATCGAACTAACTGGCTGATAAGCGCTCCAATAAAATCTATTAAAATATTTGTGAAAGTCACGCAGCTGATAAAATGTTATCTAGAGTTGGTGCAGTGAACTGACTCAAGGATTGCCAAAAATAAAAGCCGATAGCGCAAGATTTCAAGTGAAGCCAATCCAAGGAACCAATGAAATATATGTAGATAAAGAAAGATAATCCGGTGACTTAGCATAGCTAAATGAGTGCTTAAACTTGACTTTCGTCAAATCCTGTCATAAAAGAGGGAATTAGGGACTCTGAGAGATTTTGAAATCTTTGTGGATTCAGGTAAATGTACTTTAATAACATTCAAGGCCACGACTTCTCTCTTTTTTCCAATTCTTATCAAACATTTATACTATGGCTAGATGAATTAAATGTTAATCAACAAACAGAGGGAGCATTGCTCCAAGCACTTGCCTTAAATTGCAGTCAATTGAGCTGAAGATAGAATGGATAATAAAAGAAGATTATAATCAAGTACAAGAGTCTAGTATACTATATATAGATATATCATAATTAACAAAGAGAGGTAGTTGCACTTGAATTCCATCAGCCCATTCCTTTTTATAAACTTAATAAACCTATGATATCATATAATACATGCATACATAATATATGCATACATATATAATCTCAAAACTCTCTGCTTCTCTTTCAACAAAGGCCAACCATTTCTTTAGCTTTTCATGCACTTCCGAGCAGCTTTTATCTACCCCAATTTTCTCTCAGTGCACAAAAATAAATTGAAAAGCTTTTGAAAGCTTTGAGTTTTATGATTTTGTCATAGGTTTTTGTATTGACTGTATTTGAAATCACCAATTGCATACTTAGCAGAACTTATTTGACTAAATCTTAAAAACTAGAGCATAAAATAGGGAAGCACTGCAATCGATTGCCAAATCGATTGCTTGATATCGATCACATCAGCAGCAATTCAATGGAACTTTCCGCTCGTCGTCCCACTCAAATTCTCATTGTGAGGCGTCGCGTTGGCTTCTTCTGCCCAGCCTCCCAGCGCTGACGACGCAGACGCAGCAGCTCTTCGCCCTGCCGCTCCTTGCGCAACTCCTTCGTGCTGGGCGACAGATCCGTGGCCTTGGGCAAACGGCGATATATGACGAACTCGTCCTCCATTTCCGTGGCAAACAAATTCTGTTTGCGTATGCGCACTAGGCGCTTCGGTGTGGCTGTCAATGGCGCCTCATTCTCTGTCACCTGCTCCTCCTTGCTGCTGTCCAGCACCAGATCCTTGAACATATCGTCTATGGCAGTGTAATACAAGGTGGCGTTGGAGCTGGACATGGCTGCAAGAACCTGACGCTTGGCTGGCAAACAGTGAACTGTGATTGATTCCGAGACGAGTTTCGTGACGTTGTTGCACCTAAAAATCCATGTTCAACCCTCGATTCTTTAGTTTTTTCGACTACCTGACCAGCTCAGCCTAGACAAAGGCTAAATTTGTGTGCCTAACAGCTGCTTACAGATGAGAAAAGCAGTGGGTCATTTATGCCCTCTCGCTCGCTCTCATAGGTATTACCGTCTACAATTGTGGTTATACCAGCGGGATGTCTGCACTGTCTCTCTCTTACCTTCTCCCTCTCTCTCTCTCTCTCTCTCTCTCTCTCCCTTTCTCTGTATTCCACCCTCTAAGAATACCCTCATAAATGAGGTTATCCCTACGTCTCGTCATAAACATACTCTGTGTTTCCTTTGCCTCTCTCAAGACTTTCCCTCTGGTACATACACTCACTTCCTGAGGGTTTGCCTAATTGCTTTTGCGATTTGAAAGATTTGCACTTCAGCACTTTCTATTAATTTTATAAGTGCTATAAATGTTAGTTCAGATTAGCTATATACCCAAATTCGCATGAACCCTACAATAACTGATCGTTATAAAACCTTCATTTCATTGAACTCCCACTCTATAAAAATACCCTCATAAATAAGCTTGCAGCTATGATTCGTCATAATATCCAAAGTATTATCGCACTCAAGGAATTCCCTCTCTCTCAAAACATTGCCTAATTGCTTTAGCTTGTACTTTTACTGCTACTACAAATTAAATTGTCATAAATTATGATTCAGAGAAGCTATATACCAATATCCGTATAAATCTTATCATAAAAACTGTATCGAAAATTTATCTATATAAAATCTAGTCTACTTTGAGTTCGCTCTCCCGCACTCTATATTAGTGTATTATATAGGTTTGGTATAGTTTGCTAATTTGTGGTAATGTATAATTGCTTTTCCAATAAAAATATATGTCACGTCCTATGAATCACTTAGCGTGCTATAACAATGCTTATCTGACATGCAAAGCGAACCAATCACAGGCCTAGTCCGTTAGCGAAAAAAAAACCCCATATATATGGGCTATACCAACGATTCTGGCTCAAACAAGCGCAACAATATTGTTGATAAGGCCAGAAACCAATAATGATTAGATTATGTCCATGAGTGAAATGAAAGAAGTTATTGTTGTTATCTTTTTTGTCGTTTTTTCGTTTATTCGTCAACTAAATTAACTTATATTATAAATTCTTTGGGCGTTTTTATTTTTCTTCTCTATTATTATTAATTTTAGTATTCCTTATTAAAGTAATCGCGTATGCTTCTCTTCACAATGGGCAGCATTTTCTGGATCTGCTTTTGTTTATCATCGTTGCTGTCCTTGTTGTAGTAGACTGTGAAGTAGACGATCAATCCAATTATCACCAGGAGCACAATGAACGAGCAAATGATGCTCATTAGCATTTTACAAGCGCACGAACAGCAACTAGAGGAAAGAGGAAGAAACAGCATTAGATATTTATGTTTGAGTGGGCTAGGCTTTAGAGAACTATGACAAACCTAATTAAATACTATGGAGTTTTTTTTTTCACTTCGAGCTTCTCTGACTTTATTTATGGATATATACATATATCTTCCCTCCTATACTGACTAACGAATGTTTATACACCCTGTAGACTTTAAAGATTATGAATTTTACCAAACAACAACAATAACAAGTTTTCTATTTATTTAATGGACCTAAACAGAAGCTCAAAAGTATATATGTACTTGTAGACCTTTAGAAGGTAGTAGCTATAGAGACTTAGGTTTCTGATAAACTTCCATAGTCGAGATATATCCTGATATATATGTATGGTCCAAATATCATATAATATCCAGCTCCATACAAATGCCCGGAATATAACATATCTACGTTCTTTTTGTCACCTAAGTATGCAAATGCTATTCACACCTATATTGTTTTGGCGATCGCCTGAGTCACAATTGTGAAATATATACATATATATATATATATACGATATACATTTGAAAAACTTACCAGCAAACCACTTTGCCGGGGCACTTGAGGCATTCACACAGAGCGTTGCACATTTTCTATTTGTTTTCCGTTCACGTAAACCCGTCAAAAAAACGTTATATACAAGTATATTTATATATATATATGTAATTCTCTGTATATAGTATATATTTATATATACACCGATTTTAACGATCCGTCGAGGGCCAAACCAAAATAACAACTGAAACGCACGGTGCCGACAAGTCAAGTTGTAGCATTTAGGCGTGAAAAGCTTTAATCATATCGGGGCACAATAAAAACACACATGCACACAGATAAGATGATATTGGTTAATCAGTGCCCCAGCCTAACGGAAAAAAGCTTCCCAATGTGGTAGAACTCGCTATTCCAGAGCTCGTGGAGTTGTGAGTGTGCTCAAAGCTATGTGGCATTCGCACTACTGACGGTATAATTGAGAGCCGTTAGATTGGCCCCAGCAATGTCGCCTTGTTGCACTTCAGGTTGATTATAGGCCACGCGCAGGAATTTCGTCAAACCAAATATGGCCAAACTCCCAGTAGTACAGAGGATTACCAATATCCAGACCACCCGACTGATAGCCAGCACAATTATCAGCTCAACAATGCTGCGAATATAAATATGCATTAGATTATAATAAATACGATATAATCGGCGTTCAGCGCACCCCAGAAAGAATATACAAATACTTCGTGCTAGCAGATACGATGTGTTCAAAACACAACGCAAACACATCGCAGTTAAGGCAGTTATATTTCAGGAAGTAAATGTATAAAAAAAAAAAATTCAATAATTTTGTAGCCTACATATTCCAAAATTTTCATGTGATTAATTTGGCATTTCATTATGTTCTTAGGAAAACTCTGAAAATAAACAAATTGATTGCGATGATTAATTGGTTTAAGCCACGCCAGTTAAGACTGAAGTACAACATCGTAATATTATAAATTTATATGTAATACATATACATATGTAGACATAGAGAGTGAATTGTTTTGTATACACAAATAATATTTGGGGATCTACAAAAGCCCAGGAAACCTTTATCGCCAATAGTAAATAGAGCGCACTGGCAACTGGCTTGATTGCGTCAAAAGTTTGAAGAGTAATTCAAATTACTTTCGATTAGATATGAGCTTCATTAATGGTGCGCATAAATCAGGTGTGGTATATAATAAAAATAGAACAGCCATTAGGTAAGTAAATACAAGAGACGTGGACTCGTGCTTCAATTATGCATAAGAGATGATAAGAGATAACAATTTGTTTAAAGGAAATTAAGTTATGATAGCAAGATTTTGCAAAATATAATCAAAAATAAGGTTTGAGAATAATATAATATATATTATTATGGAAAATAAGAATTGAGAACAATATATTTTAACATGTTATAGAATATTTAGCTGATTTATAAATAAAGACTAATTTAAATCAAAGCTTATATAGATGCTTCTAGAAGCAAAGGGAATGGCTCACACTAATAGGTTTAAAATCTAAGATTTTAGTAACATCTAAAAGACATATCTTTTTAGTGATATATATATGACATATATATCATTTTGCTTACATTCAATTTTAGTAATTCGAAACGATTTTAAAATATATAAAAATATCTCACATATGGCCTAAAAGTGCTTCTGTTTGCCTGCCTCTATATGACATTACAATTTAAAAATAATATAATATTTATATATAACATCAGTATATAACAGGTGGCTTATCTCTCCAATAAATATATAATTTAATAGATACCCTGTCAATAATGAATGATAATGCCACTTGAAATGAGTCAGTGTCGATTGATGGTAAATTTCCGTATCTTAGAAATACGTAAACAACATTGTCTTAGCAATCAGTGAAGCACCGATGATTTAATACTCTACACCAAAAATACAT